ATAGTCGTCGGGATAAATGTTGTTTGACAAGTCTCCATTACGATAACCACCACCAATTGTCCAACCTGCAGAAGTACCAGATTCAAAGTCACCATTGGAAAAATAGATTGCAGAACACGCTTTAAAAAAAAAAATCAATGGTCAATTCTTATGGTTTCACAAATCGATTGTAACACACCTTAAGAGATTCATAATAGCAATAAAGTCGTATTAACGTACTACTTATACTAGTTGTGAGTCTTATAAATTTGTCGCTAACAAGATATCTTCTTCATAGGATCGGTCTTGAATATGAATGGTTGATATTATAGCTTTCCAGTCCTGAGAATAACTCGACATATGCCGAAATACAAAAGATTTGTTTTAGTTAAACTATCGATCAGCTGATTTTATTCTATCAAGAAGTTTCCGCGAGTTCCGCTGTATTATATTTGAACTGATCTACTATATAATTTAACATACACTTATTAGAAATCTAATGAATAGGATAGATTTAGGTGAAGTGGAACAGCTCTATATCCCTAATCAGAAATTACTACTTAGAAAAATAATCGACTATTACTTGAAAAAAAAGAAGATATTACCTGGATCTGGTGTTGTACTTGAAGTTGTAGTTGTGGTTGTTGCTGTAGTTGCACTTGTACTTGTCGTTGTCGTTACTGAAAACGAAAAGAAGAATATTATGTCAAATAGATTCTTTTTTTTGATACTTTAGTAATTTATATCATGCTCATAAAGTTTGATTGTTTTCACTGAAGAAAGACTTTTAGAATAAAGTTAGATCGAATGTTCTTAAAACTGAAGGTATAGATTGGCATCATTAGTCATAGATAGATGCCTCAGATTAATCAAAACAATTGAATAGTGCTTAAAATCAATTAAGTGTAGATGAAAGAAATTTGAAAATAATTACAATAACAATCTAAAAACCTGAAACGTCCAGAATTTCATTCTGATTTTCAGAATTCAGAGAATAAAAGGCAACTTCTATTAAATTAATTACCTGTAATCATACATGTCTTTGTTGGTACACGGATATTAGTGAGTAAATAAATGCTGATTCCTAATGCTGTCAATGCAGCGAGTGTAGTAAGAATTCCAAAAATCATAAGTGATATTTCCAGACATGTCGCTTTTTTGCCAATTAAATATGCCCCACCCATCGTAGATGAAGAGATACTGGTGCTTCGGCTTACTTTTTGTATTGGATCAATAGGAAGTATTTGCTGGTTTCCACCATCTTGTATCATTAGTATTCTTGGTGGCATTATTTGAACATTATGAGTTTCGGTCATCGTTGTCCATATATTTCCAGTTGATGATGAAACCGGAGTATTCGCATATTGTCGTTTCTTATGAACTGGTTTTACCTAAAACAGACAGAAAGTACAATAATCATTTAGTACAAAATAACACTGTAATCGTTTCTTTCCATGGAATACTGTAGTCTAACTGACACGAATAGTCTTTTAATTTGAACATCAAATAAAATATTCTAAAAGATTCACTTTGATACCATTACTCCTCATAATTGTAAATCGTTGTCGTTTCATCTCAAATACTCAACATTGACAGTTGAATTCTGCTTTGCTTAGATATTTTACTTCCAAAATAGATTTGATATTCTGTTCTTCCCAGTTACAAAAATGTTGGATGGTGAAAGACACAAATATCAAATATATATACGATTAAGAGAAAAATCAGTCATTCCATAACTAAGAAATCTATTCTTCTTTTGTATGCGCAAGGACAACCCTTTGACTTTGAACTCGAGTAAAACGAAAAAATTTCATATTGGAGAAGGATCTTTGGACTGATGAAGACAAAAACTTGTGTCATTGTTTAAAATAAGAAAGTATTTATTAGGAAATAGGAGTGGCAAGATTCTTGGTTCTAGATTATTACCAAAATTTCTATTCCTAAGATAAAGAATCTAAAACGAACACTCCGACGAAGTAAATATCAATTTCAAACAAACATCGCTCTGTGTTGTTGTTGTTTACATTGACTAAATGTTCACAGTAGAAGACTTTTCTATATATGATTACCGTAGATGATCGTGGGACAAATGACAGAGAAACAAATCGATATTTGTTCATGTTGTGAAATATCTTTGTGTAATAAGATGTATCTTGTACAAAAGAATGAATTTGATTTACACTTCTTACAGTGACAAATTATATATATTTTTTGAAAATTCATATGAAACATAAAGAAACCATTTCAATATTGTCTATCCGTCTATTCATTCAATTATTTTTGTAATGATTCTATTTCGGACATTCAATGACATAAGATCAAAAATATGTCAATATTCATTTTTATTCTCAAAACTTATTGAAAAATATTGTATCATTTTGCTGAAGATGATCATAATTCAGATGACATTCTAATAATTACCTGTATTTGATCAATGTAATCTCCATAGATATGAATTCTTTTGAGTGATCTTCTATAAAAATGGCAAAATCGTCACTTCTAATGTGTTCAACAATATTTCTTTATTTTTTCTAAAAGTGTATAACTGTTCAATATGTTTCCTTTATTTGAATAAGTGGTGAATCACATTGAAATAATCTTTTAGTTATA